CAGCTCCAGAATTGAACAGGGGGCTTCCGGTTAGGGCCTTTGTGGCTCCCGGTGTTTTCTTTTCTGTGGGAAACAGGTCCAAATGGCTCTTTGAGTGTTTAAGTTTGCTGACCCCTGGGTTAGGTGATGGTCTTGTGAGGGGTCAGGTATGGGTCACAACAGATGAGGGTCTTGTGAGGAGTCAGGTGTGGGTCACGTCAGGTGAGGGTTACATCAAGTGTGGGTCGGGTCAGGAGTCTTGTGAGGGCTCAGATGTGGGTTGAGTCAGGTGTGGTTCTTGTGAGGGCTCAGGTGTGGGTCACGTCAGGTGAGGGTCTTGGGACGAAGCCTTTTATAAGCAGAAGAACATCAACACTGACAACCTTGGAGAAAGAACCCTCCACCTTCATCCTACACATGAGCTACAGATATTCCCCGCTATTGCATAATTAACCTGGTTCCAGCATATTCTGGGGACCAGCTGCCTCGTAAATTGGGCTCTCTAGAATTCAATCAGCAGAAGAGCCTTCTCCAACTTGGGAGACCCTTCTAGATGTGTCATCCTCCTCCCACCTTTTCTACAGGTTGGATGGGAAACGGAAGCAACTACTAGAAAGGGGTCTCCAACCATGACAACTTTACGACTGCTGGGCTTCGACTGCCAGAATTCCTCAGCCAGTTGTGCTATGCTTAGGAATTCTGGAAGTTGAAGTCCACCGGTTGTAACGTTGCCACGGGTGGAAGCCCCTGATCTACCATGACTCTTCTTTCTCCCTGCAACGGGCAACAGAGGGCACCCAGGTCCCTAATGTTCATTCTCACCTGCCAGGTCCTGGGTGTGTGACGATGACTCATCAGGAATTCTTCTGCCAACGCCACCATCTCAACGCAGTCCTTCGGCCCGCATTCCCGCACCCAGTTCTGGGCTTCAGCAGGCAGCATCCCCAGAAGCTGTTCCTGGATGATCATCTCTAGGATCTGCTCCTTGGTGTGGCTCTCAGGTTTCAACCACTGGCGGCAAAGATCCTGGAGTTGGCCGTACACCCTGCGGGGTCCTTCCAGCTCCTGGTAGCAGCACTGCCGGAAGTGCTGGCGCTTCATTTCCATGCGGAAAGCATCCGCTCGCAGGATGGCGGCCTTCACCTTCACGTAGTCGGTCCTGTCCCGGGCATCCAGTCTGCAGAAGGATTGCTCCATCCCTCCCCGCAAGGCTGGCAGCAGCTGGCGCACCCATTCTTCGCGGGGCCACTGGCAAGCTTCGGCCACTTGTTCGAAGGCCTTCAGAAACGCCTGCGCGTCATCCCAGGGCGCCATATCAGTTAACGGGAAGTTTCCCCAGCTCGCGTGGGCGGGTTGCAGCGTGTTCAGAAATTCCTGCCACTGGGCTTCCCACTGCTGCTGGGGTAAGCCCACTTCTAGCTGTTGGTTCGGCTGCCTTGTCAACCCTTTAAAATACATCACCTGGACAATGCGTGGGACTCTTCCAGAATTTTCCAAACCCCTTTCCATGGCTTTGTGCCTTGCCCTGAAAGGGAGAGGCGGGCCTGGAAGCTCCTGTGCTGGTTTTGGTGCCTTTCGATGTTTTCAGTTTTTCCTTTCTTCCAAAGAACCCATAAAGGGGACAGGAGATGTGGAGTTGTTTCTGGAAGACAAATAAGAAAGAGAGCCTGTCAGGATGAGAGAGAGGGAGGGAGGGAAGGAAAGAAAGAGAACAAGAGAGGGAGAGGGGGAAAGAGAGGGAGAGAGCAAGAGATAGGGAGGAAAGGAAGAGAGGGAGGTGTTAGGTAAGTTCCCTGTTGGGACAGCGAGTGCGTTCAGAGAAGCATTGTGAGATTTGTGTTGGAGAACACACAAACCAGCATACAGAGACACTGCAGTTTAAATAGGCTTTTACTTT